TGACTCGGGATTATAAACCATCAATACTCACTAAGTGTGCAGAACTTGTTACCTGACATCCCAGGAATCAGGACCATTTGGGTCCTCCTTTTTGGCAGGAGTATCAGTGTCATTCAAGAGAAAGTGGCTTTGGTAAGGGAAGGTAGAAGTATCAATTAGTAAGTAGTTGGCTGTGATAACTCAGGGTAGCCTGAATACTAAGACATATTTATTGCAACAATTAGCATCTAGCAAGAAGTCCTATGGCTTTTTTATTCGGTGGCTCAGTCATGAATCCTGAACCTGGTCCTTTCCATCTCCTTGTCCTATTTCCCTCTGTAGGTCAACTGCAGCAGTTTCTGTCTAGTCTGTCATCACTGCAGGACAGTTACTGTGGTTCTAGGGGACATGCAGACTTGAAAAGACTCAGCAGAAAAAAGCCCATATCTTCCTCTATACCTCTTTTAAAAGAGCGAGAAACCTTTCCTAAAGCCCCTTTATGAATTTTCCTCTATGTCTCTTTGAGTAGGATTGTGCCATATGGCCGTGTTAAACTAACCACGGGAAAAGGAAGGGGATTGCTACAACTGGTTCATTTAAATAAGGCAGGGTTTACCAATCAGCTGGGATAGGGTCTTAGCTGCTGTATACAAGAATAGGGGAATGGCTATGAGGGTACACCCAACTGTGGTGGGCAAAGAAGTGGGGTGACTTGATTCTACACTCCAATACCTCTTCCAGCCAGGCCCAGGGTGAACAGCTAGAGCCATCTGGGTGGTGGTTCTCTTTAAGGAACACTTTAAGGTGGAAGGGGTAGAACCCCTTGAAATATTTTCTGGTCTTTCATTTTGGTTGAGTGGCTGTTCTCTTGTGGTTAAACTCCTGGCATCTCCCTCTGAATTGGCCAGCACACTGCTGATATCCTCCATTTCCAGTTGCACTGGACTTGCACTGGTTCCCACTGCTACTAATTCGGCTTCTGTGACCTGGACTTCTGTAAGGCCTCCTGCCCATCTGCCAATGTCTGCTCTCACCCTGCTCATCTACACTGGCTGTGTAGGTATGTTCTTAAAGGACTTCCTTGCCTGAAGCCATGTTGCTGAGGTGTAAAGACCAACTCCTCGATGTGATACCTGAGATCTTCTGTTATTGGCCTCATCTTCTTTTCCTGCCATCCATCTGTGCTTCAAACATCTGCAAATGGGACCACCTCCTTCACCTGTCTCATATATCCTGGCCTCTGGGCCTTGCTCTTGATGATTTTCTGGCTTGTCTTCCCCCCACTCTGGTGATGTTCTGCACTTCCTGGGCACTGAGAGCCCATTCTACAAATGAAATTGACATTGGATTGCAACGTGAAAACAAATGAAAGTGATCTTTTATTACTAGAATTTTATTTTATAAGTTTAAATTCTAAGCATTTGCTCATTTTTAAGTCGATCAGTGAGAATAATGATGCTTTCTTGATGAACACAAATTGAACTGGAGTATGTTTGACAGCTGCAGTCTCCCATCAGCCTCAGCATTCAAATCACTTCTCTCTTGTGTTTCATAACTCAGCTTCAAAATCCTGTTTCACAAAGAGAAGAACTAGCAAACAGTTGAAGAGTCCTCTGTGTGATACTGGGACAGTGATCAATTAAAGTGAAAAAGGACTGATAGAAAAATGTTGTTTTGAAGCTGAATATCTAACAACAGGAAGGCAGAAATATTTAATTTTGAATAACAAATATGAAAGTTAGAAAAGAAACACCCAGAGCTTAAACACTAAAGCAAACATTACTTGTTCCAGCACACCAACTGGAGGAGCCAAGTGGCTGGATCTTAAGAACTATCACAAATCATATGCACATCTCTCCCTAAAATCCCAAGAGATTCCACTCAAGCATTGTTCTGGACACCATGCTTTCAGAAATGCTGAGTACAATAATAATGATAATAGTAATACTTACTCTTTTAGTTTTGTACAGGCACTTTGCTATAAAGTATTTTTCTTCCCATTCTGTCATGATTTCTTCAAATAGGTTTTCAATCCCTTGCTCTCTCTCTCTCTTCTCCTTTTGGTACTCCTCTGACGTAAATGTTGTTATGCTTGATGTTGTCCCAGAGGTACCTTAAACTATCCTTATTTTTTAAATTCTTTTTTTCTTTTTGCTGTTTTGATTAAGTGTTTTCTGTTACCTTATCTTCCAAATTGCTGATTCTATCTTTTGCTTCACCTAATCTGCTTTCGATTCCTTCAAGTATATTCTTTATTTCCATTATTGTATTCTTCATTTTAGACTGGTTCTTTTTTATGGTTTCTCTGCCCTTTTTTATGCTGCCTCTCTGTTGAAGTTCTCACTAAGTTCATTGAGCATCCTTATAACCAGTGTTTTGAACTTTGTATCTGGTAGGTTGTTTGCTTCCATCTTGCTTAGTTCTTTTTTTGGAGTATTCTCTTGTTCCTTCATTTGGGATGTTTTTTTGTCTCCTCATTTTGGCTGTCTCTAAGTGTTTGTTTCTATGTATTAGGTAGATATACTACATCTCCTAGTCTTGGCAGGATGACCTTATATAGTAGGGGTCCTGTGGAGCCTAGTGGTGCAGTCTCCCTGATCACCTGAGCTAGGTTGCTCCAGGAGTGTCCCTTGTGTGGGTTGTGTGTGCCCTCCTGTTGTAGTTGAAACTTGCTTACTGTTGGCATGTCAGTGTGTGGGACTGATTCTCAAGCTTACTTTGAGGACTGGCCACTACCACAGCATACTAGCCTGTCACAGGGCTGGCACCCCTCACTCCTCAGAGGGGGGCCTCTGCAGCTGTGATATCTTTCTCAATTCTCAACTGCCACACATGAGTGTGAGACCAGTGGGTTTCATGTTTCTGCTGCTCCTATCAGTCTCGATGTGTTTTTTTCTTTATATCCTTAATTAAAGGACTTCTGTTCAGCTAGTCTTTAGATGGTTCTCCAGGTTGATTGTTCTATAATTTAGATATGGTCATGGGAGGAAATGAACACAACTTTTACCTTCTCCATCATCTTGACCAGAACCTCCCTTTACATTTTTTTCTTCCCATTCTGTATGTGAGGAAAATAAGGCTTTAGAAATGTTATCTTGCCCAAGATCACACAGCTCTCTAAGTAGCAGATCTGGGACTAGAGGCTTGCTCTGAAACCAATGCACCTAGAAATGTGTTATGACATGCTCACAAAGCCTCCTTGACTCAAGGAAATGTATTAGTTTCTAGTATGTTAAAGTAGGTGGAGCAGGTACAGGGGTTCTGTTAAGATGAGATCAGGGAAATAGAAATCTGTGGCAGTTCTCCTCAACCACAGACACTGCAAGCCAGCACAGTCTGCTCAGAGGAACTGCTCTGCCTTTGCAGCAAGAAAAATAACCCACAAAATTAGGACCCTCCACCAGAGAGAAAAATTAACTCATTTTAACTCAGATCCTTGGACATACTCAAAGACCAAACCCTTGGATTGAGAAATGCTACTCTACGCTGGCCACCTGAAGACCCATCCATATACCAGTTACCTTAGTGGGCTCTTGGGAACAACTGCAAAGAGACAGATGTGGCCTCTTCCCTGTCTAGTCTAAGAGGGAACAACTTACTTTGGGTCTAATTGGGCCATCTTCACAGTGGCAGAAGCACGTTTCCAATTGGCTTGTTTCTATGGACCTGTTTCTCCTACTTGGATTAGCAGCTGGAACCCAGGAACATGAGCTAGTGGTGACCAGAGCCACATAGCACTATCTCAAAGAGCTATCTCAATCTACGATTGTCTCTCTCTGGTAAAGTTCTAAGGAATTTACTGACCACTCCTGTTTAAAAGAGAGCCTTGTATAGGTGAATTTCTTGAGAAGTTGTTGAAGAACAGTTATCAAAATGCATTCTTTGAATCCACTGTCCTTCCAGAAGTATAGCTGGTAAGTAAAATAAATGGATTTCCTAGGTGCTGTTTAAATGTCACCCCTAAAATATATTTTTGAGAGAGGCTGTTTTCTAATTATACTCAAATGTGGAATGAAGCAGGAGGCTTCATCCTTCCCTTCCAACCTTGGAGAAGATATTGCAAAGGCTGCGACCAAGAGGGCAGCCAGCCACCAATGGTGTGCTTCCTCTCTCTTTCACTACAGAGCCTGGCCTGTGCCTGGGTTGGGTGGCATAGGCAAGCTGTGTTCTGCAAGCCCATATGTGTCTCAGACACATATGGGCTTGCAGAAGGCCATATGTGTCTGAGAGCTGGTCAAGGGCAGGTTGGGTACCAAACCCAGAGTGGACCATGGCTACAGAACTCCACTGTGTCAACTTCGCTGACACAAACCTGGCCCAGGGTGGAATGACTGCTCACTGTGGTCAGGCTTGAGTGCCTAGGCTGTTATGAACTTGTAGTCCACTGCTGTCCTGTTTTGGGCAATGTTGCTGCAACAGACGTATCCTACATGTGAATAGACAGTCTACAAGACCGAAGCCAGAATAGAGCACCAAGATAAGTCTTCCTTTAGCACCACTCTTTAGAGATAACTACCCTGCTCAGAGACTAGGTCCAAAGTTCTTATTCTTCCATGTGTTGGACATTTAGCTCTAACCAACTTTTCTAGCCTTTATAGCAATGCCGGCCCACCTCTGGCCATCACTCAGTTATTTCTGTGATCTCACCATCAATTACACCCACGAGACTGCTTCTTTCTCATCCTCCAAGACCCTGCTAGAAGGCTTGCTTCTTGGCAATGATGTCCTTGAGTCCCCAGCAGTGTGAGATCCCTCCATCCCCTGTACTCTTGTGGCATCTACTCTGTATTCCCCATGTGCTATCACCACATTCGGCCTTACCATGTCTTATCCACTCTAACTGAGTGGAGGTCTTTGAGGGTGCATACTCTTCCTTACAGTGCCCAGCACACACTACTTTGCACACAGGCTACTACGCACACAAAGCACATGTATGGGTGACTGAAGGATACCCATGGGCTCTCTCCATTCCTAATGCCTCCTTTGCAGACATGACAGGAGGCCCTACAGCAATGCTGATCTCAGTGCTCTTTGCCTTCTTCTATCAAATCTGAAGGTGGAGGGATGAGGTCTCGGGGGTTCATCATGGCCACCAGGCAGACATCATAGCTGTCATGCATGAGGACATTGATGGCTACAACATTCCACTGGTTTTCCCATGGGTCCAGCTCCAATATTTCTTTGGAGATAACTTCATGGCGATCTGAAAAACAGCAAAGTAGTAAAACAAAATATCATGGGGCTATTAAATTCAGAGGTCACAATTACTGTATTAAACAACTTTTTCTAAAAGATATATGCAGCAAAAATTAACAGACAATGGAATAAGGAGACTTTAAATGGAAGACACAGTGTTGGTGAATTTAAGAAACTAAGAAAAGTCATGTTACAACTCACATTCAAAATTTAACCAAGACATACATACTGACAGGGCATACTATTGTCTAAAGCTGAAAGAATGTTGCAGTGTTACACTAATTATTTATTAATGATGTGGTCAAGAGATGAAACTATTCTATTTCTATACCCATAAGAAGAGGTGTGGGTGGAATCATGTGACCTGTGCAAGTCATTGAGATCCCTGAGCTTATGTTTCCTTAAATGGAGACAGGAATGTTAATATACAGCCAGGGTCCTTGCACAAAACAGATAGAGCACTCTAACTGGGTAATTTGAAGACAGTTTAGCAAAAGGACTGTTGGAAAGGTGTGGGAAGTGTTTAAGAAGATCCACAAGGGATGGCACAACACCCCAGGACTGAGAACAGCAAGGGCCATTACTCCATGAAAGGCAGCAGAGGGAGAATATGTATTGGAACTTGGAGAGGCAGCTGTCTTAAGAGTGCTGCCTGGCAGGAGGAGACTTAGGTAGGGGAAGACGAATGCAGCCATCCTTGGCTTGGCAAACCCACGGGGATGGGGCAGGGAGAATAAATACACTGACTCTACCCTCCTTCACCCAACAGTTTCTGCTCTTGCCTTCATAAGCCATAGGGGAAAGGAGCAGTGAATGCAGCCCATACAGGTTAGCTTCACAGGACACAGAGCATGATAGAGAAGAGAATAGGGTGAGTCTGGAGGGGCAAATGAAAGATTTCCAGCCCAGGTGTCTACTTCACAATGTATTATGATTAGAGGAGATAATGTATATAAAAGTATCAGTACTGGCATATAAAAGTAAATATTTGAAAATGGCCAATGTATGCTTGTAAAGGATTTGTATTTTTAGGTGTTGGGTGCAGTTTTCCATATATGTTAATTAGGTCATGCTATTCAGCACTTCTACATATTCACTGATTTTTGTGGGCTGGTTCTGTCAGTTACTGAGAGAGCTGTGTTAAAACATTTCACTAAGATTATAAATTTGTTTCTCTCCTTTTAGTTCTGTCCATTTTTAGTGTACACATTTGAGCTCATTATTAAATAAATATAAAATTTATCATTTATAAATTTGTTATGAGTGACTCTTTTACTCTAGAATAAATTGTACTAGAATTCTTTTTACTAATATAAATAGTAAAAAATATGATTAAAAAACATTCTGATAATCTTTATCTTTTAACTGGAGCAGTTAGTCTATGTACATTTAATGCCATTATAGATATATCTTAGTTTAAATTCACCCCATTTGTGGATTGTGCTTGTCTCACTTGTTCTTTCTTCTTTCCTTTAATGCTGGCTTTTGGATTGATTTTTATCATTCCATTTCTTTCCCTCCACTGATTCAGAATTTATAAATCCTGTTTCTGTTCTTTTGGTGGTTATCTTAGAAATTAAAACATGTATACTCAACTTATCGAGACCTAACGATAATCAATACCTTGACTTTCCTCTTGGAGAGCCTTAGAATAATTTAATTATATTTATTTCCCTCTCAATTTATTGGCTATTGTTGATGTGCATTTTAATTATATATATTTGTTAACTCTGCAAGACATTTATGTTTTATATAGTAAATGCTCATTTAGAATAATACACATATTTATCTTTTCATTGCTCTTCATCTTAGACTTTTCGTCTAGGATAGTGTCCTCCAAGTTTTAGCTGGACAAAGGCTTATCATGTCCTTATTCGAATTAATGCAGGTTGGGGCCTTTTCAAATTTCAGAATAGACAGAGCTTTTTTCATTAATTTTTATTCCTTTTGCTCATTTCAATGTTTATTAGGGACATTTTACTTTTTAAACTATATATACATATTACCATTTTTCCTAGAAATGTCTTATTTTATTTACATCGCATAAACATTACCATATTAGTAGTAAAGAAGTAAAGAGTATAGTCAGCGAGCTTTCTGGACTGTGAGAGAGACAGTGAACTACATCACAGCCCCTTGTGTGGCTGGAAACTTGAACTCTCAGGAAGAACCAGCACTGGTCAAAGTTCTTGCCTGACAACAGTGCATTCTGGGGCATTCTGGGTGTTCTTCTAGAGTTCTACCCCACAGAACTCATAAAACAGGAAAACAATCGTTGGCATTTCTACCTACTTACGTGATTTTGGGTTCTTGAAATATTATCATACTTACAAGGAAAAAAGTGAGGTTGAACTCAATGTCAGCTCTTTTCAATTCAGTTAATTTTCCAAAAATAGACACATAATACAATAGCATTTTACTCATTAAAGAAGTTGAGAAACTCTCCCTGCATCCTGCCACTTCCAATAGTGAGCAATCTAAAACACATCTTATATGAAGTAAATACAAATTTCACATTTTTTTGTGTGCACCTCTAGCATAGTTTTTGAGGTAAGTGATGCAGTGTCAGAGAACTTCCATGAGGGTGGCAGACCACTGTGTTTTAGAGGGTGCTCTCTGTTGTTGGAGGGACTTCAATGAAAAACTTTGAGAAGCACCACTTTAGATTTTATCCTTGAATTCAACCAGAAAACTGAAAACTTAGGTTTTTTTTTTTTTTAGTTCTTATGGAATTGTTTTTTCTGACTTGCTCTCTGGTGAAATGCTGACTTGCTATTTTATTTATTGTAGGAGTAGTATTGAGGATACTCCTCACTACCCTAAAGGAAGTTTGGGGAGAATTTTCTCCCACTTTTAAAAGATGTGCATCTTCCAAGCAGTGGTTTGTTCTTCTCTTGAGGACACTGCAAATCTATAACAGGGCATGGTTTTTTGCTCTAGACTCTAGTAGATCAGAGATGAATTGGTGGTCCATCTGTAGCCAGTGCTTAAGAGCTTCGGGCAATTTTATCCCATCTTGGTTGCTTTTATTTATTTATTTATTTTGTCTTTATTTTCTCTTCATTTATTTTAATTTCCTGATTTATTTTAATTTCTATCTTACTGTGTTGTATGCATCTTTGTAAGCCATCTCAGATTCCATTTTATTTTGAATGAATGGTATGTGAATAATTAACAAATCATAAAATAAGTAACTGACTACAGGCTAAGTTGGCTTGTCCAGCTGATTGGCTTTCCTCAGGTAAGGGGTATTACCTACCTCTCTAGTGGTGAAGGAGCCACTAGTCAGTGAAAGGGGTAATTTAGCTGCCTCTGACTCAAGCAGAAAGAAGGTCATGAGTGATACAAGTAGGCATAACCAGCAGCTGATGACTTCAGCTAGCAGAGGGGACCTATAGTCCATTCAAATGGGCAAAAAAGAAACAAATGAATGGCTGGGTACATATAGTTGCCTATCTGCCAATGAGGTGGAAGGTGGGAGCAAAAATTCTTTATAGTATATATAGTATATCAGTATAATTATAAAATAATATAGCACAGTAACACTTTCTTTGTCTATAAATTCAATTAGTTAATCAAAGTCTTTATATTTTTCACCAAGTTGAAGAAATAGCTATATAATATCACTTTGGTCAAGGAATAATTGGCATCCCATGTAACAGATTGCAAACAAACTTCTACTGAGTATGCCGAGTTTATTTATCAGAAATATAGAATGTGTTTTATGCTTAAAGTTACATGTAAGAGTTAAATTAGGATACGATGATTCTTTCAAGAAAATTTGTTTTTTGATTTTCTTTTCCTTACCAGAAGGACTTCTTTTAAAAAATGAGATTAAGCTTTTTCTAAGCACAAGTGGCAGGTCCATGAGATGAAATTATCTGATAAAGACCATTATATTTAATGTAAATATTTGTATGTTTGGATTTAAGTCTACTATTTTATTATTTCTTTTATTTTTGTTCCTGTTTCCTTTTTTTTCCTTCTTTGTGGATTGTTTGAATATTGAATATTCTTTTTAAATTTATCTTGAGTTTCTAATAATACTTCTTTGTATTTTTTTTTCAGTAGTTGTTCTAAGGATTACGATATATATACTTAACTGTTAACAGACTACACTGAATTAATACTTTATCATTTCAAGTAGAATGTAGGAACCTACCTTACCATCATATAGTTCCTTATCCTTTATGTTGTAACCCTCTTCATCACAAGGGAGATGGCAATCTCTGTAAATATTAACATGCACTGAAAATACTATCAGATATGGGTAAAAATTTTGCTGTCAACTATCATATGTATTCTAAAGAACTGAAGAGGAGAAAAATAGACCATTATATTTATCCAGGTATTTATCATTTCTGTTTCTCTTCTTTAATTCTTGAAGTTCCAAGTTTCTCTATGGTATCATTTGTTTTTCATTTGAAAAATTGCCTTTAACCTTTTTTTTAGAGTATGTCTGCTGGCAATAAATTCTTTTAGTTTTTCTCCATCTGAGAATATCTTATCTTAATTTTGCCCTAACTCTTGAAGGCTATTTTTGCTGGATATGTAATTCCAGACAGCTCTTTTTATTTTTTTCAGAGCTTAAAAGTTATGCTCCATTGCCTTCTGGCCTCAGTGGTTTGAGAAATCCACAGTCATTCTACTAATTTTTCCCTCATATTTTTTTGTTGTTTTCCTCTGTCATCTTCAAGATTTTTTATCTTTAGCTTTTAGAAGTTTGATTATGATGTGTCTGGGTATGGGTTGCTTTTGTTTGTTTGTTTGTTTGTTTGTTCAAGTTTATCCTGTTTTTAGTATGCTAAGTTTCTTGAATTTATAAGTTTATGTCTTTGCTAAATTTGGCAAGTTTACAGCCATTATTTTTTCAAATACTTTGTTTTTTTTTTTTTAATTCACACTTCTCCTTTCCTTCTGGAATCTAATGACACCAATATTAGACCTTTTTGTATTACCCCAGAAATTCCTGAGGCTCTGTTCACTTTTTTCAATCTTTTTTTCTTT